TTCCCACTGACTTCAAAAAGAATTAGATCTCTGCTGCTTAGATTAATTCTATCTAAAAAAGATGGCTACTTATTGTAGATACCCATGATGGGCACATGATGCAGAAATGCAATGATAATTTTTTTTCAGTTATATGCATTTGGTAGGATTTAGACAATAAACAACTTAGTAAACAACTTTTCTCCCCAGTGCATCTGAAACATTTAACTTGCAGGTTTGCTGAAACCAGTCTACAGTGGCATATTACTGCAATCCCACAACTTTGCATTTTAAAATGAGCAACTACTGCAGAAACTCTGCACATAATACTAGTGCTGCTGCATGAGACCCATATAACAGAAAAATCTATTATGCTTAAATTTTATATTTTATAAAAGGGTAAATACAGATCTAAATAAAATTTAAACATTTTTAGGCATCAGACTTGCTTTAAAGCTTCTCCCACTTCTCCCTACTCGTTCTTTGAAACCCTAGAGACAAACATTTGGCACAGTAAAGATTCTGCATACCACATTTCATAGCATTCAGCTATTGCTACAATTTTAATTATGCAAAACTCAATAGGCTCTAATCAAATCTTACTAATCTGACTAATACTCTAAAACAAACATTGTGAGCTACTGAAAGCAATGTTATACACGAATTTCCTCACATCATAGAAAAGACTCTTGCAGCACAGTGTACTTTTTCATAGGTAAAATAACATCCCATGATGTTAACACCTTTTGTTTGTCTTCTCTGCAACTAATGACAGTTTTCATATTTTTTGTTCTTAAAAAGTCAACTTTTAAAATTTCAGTTCAGACACACTCGTGCATCATAGCAAATCCAGGGAGAGACTACTATAGATGTGATACAAGAAATATATCAACAGCAAGGCACAATTTTGAACTATTGTTAGCTCAAATATGAACTATGCAAATATGAACTATTTTGTATGCACAAAAAAGAGTATTATAAGATTATATTTATATTTCATATTTTAGTTAAAGTTATGTAATTCAGACACATACATGTACTCTGAGGTAAGATCTACCTTACAGTGCAGACATTTCCCTGAGATTTACACATGAAGGGGATTCTCCCACCACGCCAATTCCACAGAGCCAGGTTAAATTTGAGGTCTATTAAAGTCAAGGAGAGAGCAGAGGCTCAGCAGTGCAGGGCTATTACCTCTTACTGGTCTTGTGGCAATTAAGTTAAAAAAACCCCTGCAAGTAAGTGTATTAATTTTCAGAGCTGCACATGATGATTATACAGAGAAGGAGCAGGAAAACACAGGACTCAAAAGACAGTACAGTGAGCTTCTACAAATGGGGAAGGCTTCGCCATAGCAGTGAGAACACAGACTGCTCACTCTGAACTTGTACTCCTGGACATTTTACAGAGAAGAATGAATTGAATGGTAGTTTGATGTGATCTGTGTTTTTCCTAAAATCCTATCTTTTATCTCCTTAACACAAGCCAAAAAGTATCTGGAACTTCATGTAGTTTTTATAATGCTTCATGCCAAAGTACAGATAGTATTTCTGGATTATTTTTCTCTTCCTTGACACTCTATAAATAGTACTAAGAAAATTAAAGTTATGAGAATGTCTGTGCTTAGGTTTACACTTTTGTTACAAGAAAAGAATTTTTTCATAACAGAGCATATTTTTATGTTACTATCTGTCTTTTACCTTGAGTTTTAAAAAAAACAGTTTAACCTTGCAATATTTTTATGCAATATCAGACTTTTACAAGTGGTGAAGGTTAAATATAGAAGCAACAAGTAATTTGCTTGAGAGAGCAAATGAGATAAACAATGGAACAGATTCAAAGCTACATTTACAGCTTAACAGCTTACAGCTTAAATGTAGCTTACCCTGTCCATTGGCTGGAGGCACATGCATGAGAATCAGTTACTAAGAATCTTTATGCATAACAATATAAATGAATATCTTTATTATATCTTGGCCACTTTACTACTTGCATCATGAAACCCTCAGCTTGTATTGAGGCTAGTTGTGCTAACTATTTGGCAAACACATAAGGAGCTAGGGTTTCCCCTACAAGAAGATTAAGCTTTTAGATCATGCACACTCCTCTCTTGAATGTTGCATTTTTTGATGTAGTGAAATGATACAGAAAGTTTACTGGTTTTAATAAAATGTTAGCACTAAGGAGAGGTCTTTAAATACAGGAAATTGACTGAGCTAAAGAAAAAAACCACTACTGTGTGATAGTAAGTTTCACTCAGTAAGAGCTTAGTGTGCCTACCAAAGTTTACAGAAGTTGCTCCAGAAAAGCAGTCATCTCTGTATGAGTCATGGCAACAAATGCAATAAAACCCCAACCACACAAAAGTTTGGTAAACAGACAACATTGTCACCAGTAAAAAAGCAAAGGAAGTAGACTCCACATTTGACCTGAGTTTCTACTGAATTTACAAGCCCAACAGAAGTGATCAAAACTAATGATTCTGCAGGAGCCCATCAGTTTCAGATTAGAGAATATAGTATATATATATTAGATAGTGGAGCATAGTCTACAGAAACATTATCACACTAAATAGTCCTGCCATACCAAGAGGGAAGAGTGGAAAGAAACAGACACAAGCAGCTGAAAACAGAAAGAACTTCGGTAACAGGATGATGTGGGGCACTTCCACATGAAAAATATTACCAAAGCTAATGATGCATGTGTCTGTTGCAGCTTGGGTCCTGAGTCCTCAGGCCTAAGGAAAAGCCGCAATAAAGGAAACAGAGAGGCATTTTTGTACAGAACTGTGCCAGATATTTGTACCTTTTTAGCTCTCTTTCTTACATGCCCAGTGTATTTTACAGAACCTGTGCTATTCATTCGTGCTCCAGTTCAAGGTATGTGAGCGAGCACACAGCAAATCCTTACTTTTAAGAAAAGAAAAATGACCAGCTCCAAGAACAGGGATGCTTTCCATTTTTATGATCAGTCAGTGACAAAGTGAACACTGATACGAATTAACAATCCAAACTAAAAAGTTTACAAGAGGATATAACAAGACCCTCAGTATTGAAGTCCCATTTTCATGAAGTTTTATGATGTACTTGGGCCAGTAATTTTAACTAAAAAATGGAGAAAGTTTTAGCATTTGCTGAAAATGCACTTTGGTGAAGTTGATTTTTCTGTAAAACACCTTGCTGCACAAAGGCAACTTTCATACAGATTTGTCTGGTACTTGGTTACAACAAACTGGTTAAAACCTATTAAAGTAAATGCACCAAAATGAGAGAAAAAAAAACCTACAAAAATTTCCTCAGGAAAGCACCAGGCTTTTGCACAGCAAAGGTGTAAAAACTTTAAAATAACAGCAGTCAATGCTGTTTATAAACCACTGCTGATCACATGTAAGGTAAGTTGCTCTTGGTTTACCAGAAGCAGTAAAAGTTGGTAATGCAGAATAAGCGCTTGAATAAACTTTTCAACACACCACATAGACAAAAACATTACTAGCAAATGTGATTTTTGATTCTGTGAGAAGAAAAACAGCAGAAATTAGAAATATACTCCAAAATGTATTTCCATAGTATATAAGAGAGGCAACTATGATGAATGGGAACCTACAGACTCTGAAATAGGCAACTGAACTTCTGTCAGTATAGGAACTGTATTGTTCTGAGGGTGATTATGAGAACATAATTTTACATTAAGAAGCTAAGTGGTCACCTTATATTTTTTTAAAAACCCACCCTCATTAAAAGCTAAAACTAGAAGAACCCAAACCAGGTAAAATCACACAGTTCAGGAAACATGAAATATCTCTAATGTGCTATTCATAGTCTGTGTTTTAAAAGCTGGAGGACATACATTTACACATACAAAATAAAGCTATCACTGCTTTGTGGTCTGCAGAGTATTTTCAGTAATTTTTCCTTATCTTTGGAAACACACATTACTCTTAATACAGCAGCATCCTGAAATTTTATAACATTTTGGATTTCTTTGAAATGAAAAGTCCATTTTATTGTTTTTTAATTAAATCTATTTGCCTGAAAGGTCCTTAAAGGCTCTACAAACTACCTTGCATTTTATTATTGCTGACAGTTATCTAAACCACGCTTGAATGCCCTCTTTATCCTTTAGTGAGCAATTGAAAGATCATATACTAAAAAGACTTGTGCTTTCTCTTCTTCTAGCCCTATAATTAAGGCATTTTAATACATTTCTTCATAGTCATTAAGAGAGCACAATGTTAAAAATTAATGAAATGAGACAATTTTGAGTTTAACAACCATAAATACACACAACATAAATTTGTCTCAATTGTAGATATGAAAAAAAAGCCTTATTGAAATCACATGATGAGATTACTGAATTGTCAAGATTTTGCCTTTGCTGTCTAAGGGTATTTAAATGATGTATGGTAGCCTGACAATACTCCAGTGTTGTTACATACCATACAAGAGAGGTAAACATTTCTGTCAAACATTCAAATTCCATTGGGTTTTTGTTTACCTTATATAGATGTCTATAAAAAGAAGTGGTATTGCTGGATGATGCTGAAATGGGGGAGGAAAAAGGAAAGAGGAAGCAAGACAAAGGCATAGGAAGGGAAAAATGATCATAAGTCAATTGCAAAAAACCTGACATATAATGAAAAATAATAACACCCACTTATAGCAGTATGTTAATGCTTATAATAGAATAAATAGGATTGTCTTAATTTGGATTTTTTCCCAAGAAAAAGAGACCACCATATTAAAGCATCACATATTTTTGCAACACAGTTATAAGTGGGTTTCTTTTGTTACATGGTGAAAGAAATTCAGTGCTTCTAAGTAAATCATCATCACTTCTACATACACCAACTAAATACAGGGTGCAACTCTACTATAGATACATTAGTACTGAGTATTTCCAAAAGAAATTACAAATGAGAAAATTATACAGCTTATATTTTAAAACTAAGTTAAGTTTTTCAAGGCTTAAGTTCTTTATGCTTTCGCATCTTAATTTAAAAAAGACACAGTGTAACACAGAGCAAGAAGGTAAGGGAGGTTTTATTCTCTTAAGAAAGACAAAATAAAAAAAAAGGGAAGTTGCTCTCCAGAAGATTTTCTAGGGTTGTCAGACTGTTATATTATAAACAACCTTATTAGTCCTTTATAATTACAATAGGTACCTCTGGACAAGATCGAGCAGACATGACAAATGCTTCTGACTTCTTTTTAAATCGAAACTGGAAGGTCATCGCTGAACAAACAGAATGCTGTACAACTGGGGCCATAAATTGTGAAAGCTAACAAAAAGGTAAGTTTTTTGATATTAAAAATTGAAATTATTCTGTTCAGAATTTTCTGTGCAAGATCTGGAAATAGGAGAATGAAATATTTCGAAAAGAGTAAGAGTAAGTAGGTTAAGAAAAATAAATCTTTGGAAACTTTATTATCAAAAATTTTTTTGGCAGTTGAGCCTGTTTTTTCCTATTAATACAATGTCTTTAGAGTAGTTGCTGTATTTTACAAATATTGTCTTATAGATAACACCTTAATGAGTATTTATCCATGTTTGCATTTACTTTTTTTACAGCACTATGATGAAATTGTAAACAGTTAAAATAAAACCAATCAGTCTCAAATCTATGGGACTTGCTTGCTGCTATCCTCACATCAAGTCAGTAAAAGGAAAGCATACTACTGTGCATTTTTCTTAACATTTTTATTTTGTTTTAGGATCATTTAACAGTACTGGTAGTTTTGGATTCAATTTAATTTGCATGGAGATAAACAGTAACTTAAGTGACTGGAACTGGAAACCAGTTGATGGATTCACTTTTAAATCTCATATTTCAGTTTGGAGAGGAAATGTAAGGATTGAATTAGAAAGCTGTAAACTCTTGATGAGAATTAGTGGTATAGAACAGAAGAAAACGAAACCTTCAGTTATTTTCCTTACAGTTAGGCTGAATGAAATTGTAAATCAACAAAAGATTTGGACAGCATTCAAATCAACAGCTTTACCTAATAAAAGTTCTAACAGAGCACTGAGCATACCATTTGAAACAAATATGAAATAAATATGAAATATGAATGACTTTAAAAAGAACCAGATGAGAAGCAAAACAGTAAAATCACCAAAATTCAAGCAAAGGAAATTTGAACTGAAATGTATGATGGGCAATTAAGCACCTATTTTGACAATTCTAAGTGGTCAAGTTTTTAAAGTATGACACAGAAACCTTAACCTATCTATATATGAGTGATAAATGAGGCATTTTGTGTCATTACATTCCCATAAATCACCTTCTTTAACTGCTGATAGCTTTTATCAGCTCTAACCTTTTCAAGCTTCTATCAGAGTGCTAACATTTTCAACTTTGACACATATGCAGTTTACAAATTCTGCAGCTGATTAACTCTGGACAGAAGCTCATTGCCATCATCGTCTTCAAGTTTGGTTACAGCTTCAGTGTCTCAAAAACTCACAGGCATCCTTCGTATGCCAGAAAATACCACTTCACTTTGTTGGGCTGGGTTGAAAAGGACCCAAGATATTTCTTCTTTTGAAGCAAGTAAATGAGAATATACTTTCAAAAGTATTCAAAAGTCCTTCTACAAAAAGACTGAATTATGTGTAATTTTAATTAATTTAAAATCAATAGCACTTTCCAAAAAAAAAAAAAAGTACTAAGTTCCATTTTACATGATTTCATAAAATAAACAAGCTTGGAATAAAAAAAAAATTGACTACACAAGAAATGTTGCTGTAAAAGTTTCTGAGGTAAACAACACAAAAAAGTTGAAAAATTCCAATTATTGCAGTGTACTGTATATATGACATTACAGAATATTGCAATTATAAACTGACATGGGCCCTTAAATTATTTTGTGGGATCCCTCACTAAATTCCTCTTGCAATTTTATAATCTTTAAAATTCAATTTTGTGAATTTTAAAGATTATAAATAGCAATACCTTGAAACTATACATTTCAAAGATTGAATATCAGCATTTCAGCACTTACAACATGAAATGAATTCAACCATGATATACTCAGAATACAATAAATGAATGAGCAGAAGAAAAGGAGGAAAAAATGTTTTATCCTGTGTAAGTAAACCTAGACATTTCAAGGAAGACTAGCTTTCTGTAGGAACTAAAATTCAATTACCTATTTGCCTGACACATTCATATTTTGCTACAAATAGATGATAAAACAGTTTATAAAATCATATCTAGGTGTTTGTCTTACAAAACATTTTAACTTGCTGTACTATTCCAACAATAAGAAGACAGCCACACAGCAGCTCTTTTTGCCTTAATAGCATCAAGACATAGTAAGAATGGTACCAAAGCTTTAATCTAAACACTTGTATTTGTGCTATTTTTTAAATTTAAAAACATGCAGAATATAATGGCAGATGTATTTCATCTATTGAAACAGCAGTGACTCATCCACTGAAATGAATCTCCAAGATATAACTTATCTAGACACTGAAACAAAGCCCAGGTTTAAAGAGATCTTGTCTTTAATAATATTAGTGAGACTGAAATTTTCATGTTAGTTGTGTGTGTACCGGAAGCCTGGTACTTCAGATGGTATTAGTTTTGATAAGAGCTAACTAGACATCAGATCTAAACAATGAAACATGAAGAGACAGGTTTGGAACATGTAAATAGGAATGTCTGCAGAGATTCTCATGCAGCTGATTGTCTCTTGTTGATAAACAACATATCTTAAAAAAACAGTGGATGAAGGAAAAATTTTGCAGCATCACAACTAATTTAGCCTTGCAGTGTCAATATTTAAGGCTTATCCATCAAAAAAATTAAAGTTCTTTATTTCACTAATAATGTCACACAGCAGAGAAGCCTGCAGTTACACTTTGACAATTCAGATGTAAATCTTGGATGTCTGTAAGTATTCATGACAAAGGCATATTTATCATTTAAATAAAAGGACATGATTTCCTGATGTTCATATCAAAGACTAGTGATGGATGAGAGCATGCGAATCAAATGAAAAGAAGGAACACAGATGCTTAATATTTAGATTAGGAGAGGGAAATGAAGACCTCTTTCCTAAATAAAGACCTAAACATTCATAAAGTATACAAATACATACATATTTGTAGCTGTATATAACACACTGTGCATGCTTAGGAACTTGATATATTCTCTAGCAGAAATGCTACAAATGCTTACTAGAATAACTGCCAATTTACTTAAGGGCAGAAGAAGCCACAGAACACTGATGTTGATAAACTCCAGTTAATTGTTTATGAATTCATACATTCAGAAGTAATAAAACAGAATAAGGTACTCTTTTTTTTGTAACTTGTTTTCTAATGCCTTAGTTCTAGGTTTAAAATATACTTCTGTAATATCTTCCTTATGCAACTTAAAACTGCATAAAATCAATCTAAATATTACTGATGACAAAAATGTAGACTACTCAAATGGGATGCAATCTGGCAAGATAAATGTGGAACTTCAGAGCCAAACTTTATTGGAAACTTTTACATTTTTGGTACTCAAATCACCTTACTTCAGTGTCTTGCTTTATGTGCACTCAAATTTTATCCAACTAACTATTTATTAGTTTAGGAAGAACTAATAAGCATCAAAAATTTGACTTACTGAGCATGAGAGTCACAACCACTGCCAGTGAGACAGCCCAAGGTTTGTTCAATTTGCAGATCCATATGCAGTAGCAAGGTCCCATGAGGTTCAATGATACTTTCACAAAGTGTTGTCAAATGATGATAACATGCAAGTCCTTAAAATACATCTTTCTCATACTCCTTTAAACAGGTAGTAACTACAAAGAAAATCCCTCTGATACTTTTCCATTAAAATTCTGAAATCAGTGAATAACTTCTTGATATCCTCAAGAAAGTCACTCTAGTTCTGAACAGAGAAAGAAAAGCCTCTTTGCCAACTGGAGAACTATTCATCAAACATACTTGTTTATACCTTGCATTAGTTATGAAACAAGAAAAGTACTAAAAAACTGAAAATAATTTACGAAATGAATCCCCATCATACAGTTTCCAAGAATTTACAAGAAGGAACATTTTACAATCTCTACAAAAGTATATAATTGAACATAAACTGGTGGTACTGAGGCAGGAAAACTATTCTTAATGCAACAATGTATTTCTTATTGTTAAAATAATTTTTACCAGACCAGAAATGCATTTAAGTTAAGAATTATATAATGTAGCATTTTAAAAAATACACGAACACCAACAAGCATTTTGCTCTGCCACTCTGAAGCTTTAGTAAGACACAGCTGATGATGTGCTTAATGCAACTTATGCAAATATCCTCAGTGCCTCCATTAACAAAAGATTAGTGTTCTAGGGAAGCAGATTCTTGTGCTCTGGAAACAGGAATCCATGTAGTACAATCACTGAGAATAAACAAAATGTAGTAAGTTTCAATATATACATTTCAGTCTCATCTTTAATCAAAAGGAACTCTCTCATAGCTCTCACAGACGCTGAATGGAAACCTGGTACACTAGAGTGTATTTCTTTCTCCTTAAGCCAAGATTTAGGCACAAGGAATTTGTGCAACTGAGTGGAAGTGTGATTCTTGTCCATTAACTGCCCAGGGACTATGAATCCACTCATTTTGTACTTCAAATTACTTAGATTGTGTATTAACCTCACCAGTCTCATACTTGTAAATGCTTTATTTACTGAGTCCTATCTGTAATCAGCTATTGACATTATTTATTTTTTCCTTATATTAGTACATACAGTTTTGTATTCTAGTAATTTATCATTTAATATATTAAAGGCTGCTTAAGACAAACAAAATTCCTCCACCTCTTGGACTTTTTTTGAAAAATTTACTGGATGCTCAATATATATAATATTCAATAGCATGTGAGAATAATTTTTATGCAACTCTGATAGTTAGAAAGATAGATAACTCAATTATTAGATCATCTATCAAAATATTCAGATGTGTAAGAGGCTACTAAAAAGATTGATGACTGAGAAAGTCCACTGATTCTCTAGCCATCATATCCACACATTTGGCTAGACAACATTTTTCGCTGCCTTCACAAGCAAGCTTCATTACCCATCACTCCACTGAAAAGAGTTTATTATGAGGCTGCCATCTTGGCAAGACTATTATTTAGATGATAAATGTTGGGGGAAAAAGTGTGTCTAGATTTTTTTTTAACATGAGCTTTTTGACAGATAAAACAAACAGCATCTACATTTCTAATTAACTTAAATTTGGCATATACAAATATAGGTCAGTAAAGCTATGATATGCTACTAGATTATCTTCTGTCTGAATCTTGCCCTTAATTTGCAAAATGTAAATTAACTAATTAGAAGAAAAGCAGCATTATTTGTGACAAAATGCTGCTTCTACTTTTTTTGCTTTGTGACATTTACGATCAACTATAGTCCTTCATTCTAACTTCTAGTAGATGGATAATTACGCTCAAACTAATTTATCAGGCTTTTAGCATTGTAACCCAAAAAAACCTTGAGATTTCTAAAGGCTAAGAAGCACAACAACTGCAACATGTAGCTAAATGACATACTTGCCAGTTTTACTTCACTCACAATATTATGCTCTTAGCATATCTTGCATGTATACAGGTATGAATATTTGCACCTTCAATGTTCAAGTACCTGACTCAAAGGAAAGTCCCTATCAGTATTCTTAAAATTTCCTTGAAATCTCTGCATCCCTTCTGCGTGTGATGCACAGTAACAATAATACTCTTATGCCTTGTTCTAAGTACTAAGTACTTAGAACAAGAGTTCTAAGTACTAAGAGTAAAATTTCACTTTAGATGCCTGTTACCCTCTTCAATTGTCATTTGAAATGAATCAGACTAGCACCTCCAGAGTTAGAAAAAGGAAGAGGGAGCTGATGACTCTTGAGTTGCAGCCCAGCAACTTGACCTTGTTAAATAAAAAATATATGATATCATAGCTCACAGCAAGGCATTCTTTTTGCTTTGGATTGGTTTTAACTAGTAGTAGGTAGATAAAGAACCAACACTAAAAGATACATTGAAAATGTCAGATGTAAATGTCAATTAAAAATTACAAGGAATTCTGAAAGGTAAGGTCTGTGGGGGGTTGACATTCTTTGACATAGTGGAGTGTGTGCAACCAGGCCTTTGGCAAGAATAGCAGGATCTATGCTGTCAGCTCTCATCGTACATAAACTTAGATGCTTGTCTAATCTGAATGAGAAATACCAGGAGAACTGGAGCTGAAGCCTAGCAGAAATATAGAAGGAAGCTGAAAATGCTCCATCTAGACTACACAAATTTCCTGTGACAACAAAATATTTAAAACAGTACAGAAAAATATAAGGGAAAATAATGTAAACAAAGACATAAATTGCTTAATTTACTATTTTTAAAGTTCAGGATGTAACAATCTAGTAGTGAAAGAGGCTTACATAAGAGCATTAAATTATAATGAAAATCCCAGTTTTATGCCTGTATGAAATACAATACCTAAGGAGAACAATGCATGAAAATATATACTTAATATCAATCACTCAAACACAAATGATAATATTAATAAAATATGGTCTGTTCCTTCTTTGCTTTGACAAAAATTAGTTTTGATACAAAATAAAACAATCTACAATACTCAGCAAAACAATTAACTTATGCTATGCATAAGCCATGGTCTCAGTTAAAATGTCTTCATGGTCTGTTTTCCAATCACAGAGTTGAAGAGAGCATAACAGGTTTAAACATTACTTATAACATTACTTTTGAGCTGGAGTAAAAAAATAAATTTTGCATAAGATACATGTTGATTTTTATACTGCTCATGTGTCATTAAATAAAGACAAAAGTAATTAATATGAAATGCTATTGGAGATAGGCTGAATGTATTCAGGACTTTGCAAAGTGCAGAGATATGCTTCTGTACGTGTTTGTGTGCGTGCAATACATATATTACACTTGTATCTGTTATTCTTGCAGAAGAACACAGAATTTTATCATCTTCACAAAGTATACTACTGCATTTTCTACTAGAAAAGTAGTGGAAAATAGCATTTTTCACTGCTCTTGGTTCTCTTCTTGTCTATAAACACACGTATCTTACTCAGTGCTGCTAAGGTTAGCAAGCTGGCATAGTAATTCACTTAAAAAAAGTTAATTAGTTTTGAAGAAACTTACTATATAAAGTCCTAAGCAGTAAAAATCACTCTCAACTCTCTCTTCTATCTACATCCTATTTTGTTTAAGATTAATTTAGTAATTCAAGTGGAGCCAGAAGGGAGAGAAAAAGGAGCACAGCGAAACACAGCATGTGCGAAAATCTACAGCATTAGATAGCTAAACAAACCCAAAGTCCCTCAGTGTAGCAGTAAGGTCAAAACCTTTCAGCATTGTACCAGTGTGTCAAAATATGTCAACAAACCATCAAACTTCAAGAAGAATGACCTTTCATTCTTTATATTTGGGATGCTTTGTATACTGGGTATGCCTGAACAGTTTTCCTAGCCACTTGACAACTGTAACTCCCAAGATTTCTTCCAAGTCAAGTTGCTACAATGGCTTCCAACTCACCAAAACAATTTTTTAAACCATCTGCAACTGAAGAATACTAAACTTGTTAATGGAACAGACATGCACAAACCCACAGCAAATCTCCCTCTTCCCCTACAATCAGACATCACTTCTTACCTCAACAGTCTTCACAGTAACCTGGTAAACCAATTTAAAGAGGTAAACAGCAAAAAATGCTTGTAATTCTGATCTCCTGATTCAGACTTTGCTCACAAAGAATTCATCATTACTGTCAACTGTAAATTAATTTCAATGCAAAACTTTTCTCACAAAAACCTAGGAACACATTATCTGAGTTTGTGTTGTGAAATACAATCTTTTGCATCATTTCTGTTTGTACTTATCTGAATTAAATACCCTTTTATTAATCGACAGGGCTCTATGATAATTTAATAATTTTGCTATGACTTATAGCTATGAACTGAAGTCCCAGGATTAAGAATAATGCACCTTTTAACAACACAATGAATCATGAATTTAGGCTTCCAAAAAGTGTGATTATTATTTTAAAATTACTTACGAGAAACTTGCTTTTATTTATTCTTTCAAAAAAGCAGAAGTAGAGGACTAAACATTTAGAAGAAAAACAAATGCTGGAAGGATTCTAGTAGAGAGATGACTTACCATTTTTATTCAAAGAGAAGATGAAATGCTTCTTTTTCACTATGTGAAATTGCCTTTAGTTTTATAACAGTGTCAAATATGACATTTTCCTATGCTTTTCCTCACCTATAGTAAAGTTTCTTTAGCTAATAATGACGTCAAGCTATCTCCTGGGACTCTCTAGAAATTACATTCCAGACTGTACATATGCCTTAGCCATGCTTGAACAAGATAGAAAATTTAAATTGCTGTATATGAGTTTATATCTTACAGCAAGTCACTGACAGTGCACCCACTAATTACTGTTTGAACCATGTGTTGATGATCTGTATATCCTTAGAAAACAGTAGTCATGCCTGTCAGCTCTGACTAACAGACTTTTGCAGCTAGGACTCCAATTTTTAATTTAATTTTAAAAAAAGTTATAAAATCAGACACTGGAGAAAAGAAAAAGAAAAAGCAACATTCATCTAAACCCTAAAATAATTTACAACATGTTCACAGACCCCATTTTAAAATGCAATCTGTGTAACTTGCTGTTCATACTCTCCAAATTACCTTTGGTCACACTAACAATTCAATAGCTTTTATTCTCATAGTTAAAACAAATACAGCAATGTAGACCAGTGAAAAATGAAAAGTGTGGTATCTACTACTTGTGCACAAAGCAATTATATTTTATACATGGAGTTTCTTTGTTTACCCAGTAGCAGTGTAAGCTACAGTCTGCTCAGTGGATGCCACCGCTCTGAAGGAATAAACATACTGAGGGAAGTATATTAATCACTTTATACTAAGTTTGACCAGTATATAAAATAGCTTTTTTTCCCAAAACATAACTCTGCAAAATCAATCTGGGAACATGCAAGACCAAACTTGCCTTTACATGTTTCTTTATTATTGAAAAATCTCAATATCTAAACAACACCTTAAATTATAACTGTGCAAATCCACTGACAAGGTACACTTTGTACATTTTTAATGCGAAGCTTAATTTGAAGATGAGGTTGCAGTGCACCACTGCAATTGAAAATTGCTTAACAATACCATTGATGTATGAGCCATAAAAAACCTTGCTAAGCTGTCCCTGCAGAACTCAGAGTAATAAAAAGGTGTTCTTCTGCACTGAGGTGAACAGACATGGTTGACTGCATCTAGGGAGCTGTTCTGTTAAATGAGAAAGTGCCATTTCTTTCCTGTCAGTACAGACCAATTTAAGACACTCACAGATTTAGTTAGCACAAAGTACAGGATTTAATGAAATACACACATAACAGCAAACAAGCCCCAGCTATGTTCAAAGTTTTCAGTCAGATTCTGAATAAAATTCATCTTACATCTGTAATGTGAGAAAAGAACACAGAAACTTTTCCAGGTTGACTCACAATTTTTAGATAAGCAATAAAAAAGCTGAAGAGAAAAGGTCTAAATCCTCTCACTTTCATTCCTTTCAAAGTATCTAGATTTGTGTTTCTCTCCACATCTAACAGGTGATACAGATTTTCTCTTGAATTTCATTTCTGCTTTAAGTTCAGCCAATGGATCAGGTTTAAAAAATCCTAAACTGTTACTTGAGCGTCACATCAACTCTATTGTGAACTCTTGCTTGTTCTCCAAATAATTTCTCTTTCAAGAGGAAGTGAGACACAAAGGTGTAGTGAATTGACTGAGAATCTGGTTGTCTCTTGAAAGACCTCTGCATAGACTGATAAAATAATACAAAACTGGTTCACAGTTACAACTGTGTTCTTTCATATAAATAGTTCCAGAGACCAATGCAACTTAACTCTCTAACCTACATGCAACCCAATCTGTCAACATGTGTTCATTAACCCAACTGTCATTTTACTAGAAACTACAGTAATTCAGAACTCATTTCAGAAGATGTGGCTCTGTCAGCTTGGCCAAGCAGTACCAAAATTAAAACTAACAGAATTTATTCCTTTAAAAACCCCACAGAAATCTGCCTAATTTCCATAATTAACCTAAATTTTTGATTTAGGGTGTAACCAATCTTATTATGGAGAGTTCTAGCTTCCTTTAAATGAATGCAAATTCATTGCATTTAAGAATCAACCATTTTTGTACATCTCAACTTAGTATCTTTAAACTCAAGTTATCAGTTTGAAATTCACTTCTTGGAGGTGCTCTTCTCTGACACCATAATGGATGCCTTCAAACACACCCTGTACACTCAGAAAGTATTCCAGTACATCTAATGGTCTTCTCATAGCCTGAGCTGCTCCATTTCCTTTACACTGATGTGCAGGTCAGCAATGTTTGCATCACAATGTTTCCTGCCATTCTCACCATCTGCCTAGATATCATATGTACTCAAATTTCTTAAGTTTTACATTCAGTGTTTCACAATTTACTTTTTACAACTCTTCTAGAATACAATATCATATCCAACAATTGACAGCCTTCCAAGTTTCCCATTACCTTGATTCAAGCTTTCCAACTCTCTGCTTTCTCAGATTGCCAAGTAAGAGCAGGTCCTTTTTCTATCAATCAAGAATGTTGCTGCAGAGCATAATTCTGCACTTTAATGATGTTATTGTCAAGATCTGGTTTCCCTTTCTCTGCTGCTTTCTATTGAACCTGCTTTTAAGGTATTTCCAAAGGTAATGCTAGCAATTTTCATATTCAGCTGAAATATTGATTGCCACCAGACTAGGCTCTGGTATTGGAACAGAGACTGTTGCACGTTCACACACTTGTGCCATGTTCTCCACTATCCCTCTGATGGTCCCTTGTGGACACTGAGAAGACTTCTAAATTTATATTTTAAAACAATCTGTTATTAAAGGTTTAGTTTGCCTCATTATCTTGCTTAGGGTTCTAATACATAGAAAAATGGCATTGAGGATGAAGCATTGTGTTTAGTATTCTTTTAAGAGGAGGTGAGGAGGTGTCTAGTGAGGAGGTGTCTAGTACCATATAAAGATTTATAAATATACACAATAATGACTTTTAGAACAATAAAGCAGAAGCATTTTAAACATATTTAAAAGAAAATATTTTTACACCAATACCATCAACATCCCACAAAATTCTGTCTAGTACAACCTTTGTTCCCCTTTAAACTCCAAATACTTACTACATTTTCAACTTGAAGATAATTGTAATTATTGCCTCAAATGTACAAAAGAAATACTTCATTAAAAAAAAACCCACTGTGAAACAATACTGTCCTACTTACAATGACAATGAGCAATAATGTCCTTTATACACAAATCACACTTGGTTAGACTGGAAGATATTTTAACAAATTTGTCACTTTGTACATATTCCATAACATTACAGCAAAATCTTCCTTCTAAGTTAGGTATTAAAAAACTGGTATATAACTTCTGTACCAACATCGCTTACTCTAGCATCACTGTAAAATCACCATATATTTTTGCTGCACGTTAAAAATTAAGATCTCAATTTTTCATAAATATTTCAGCACACCAACCTGAAATGCTAATTAATGACATTCAAAGTGTCAGATTAATAACATGTAGAGTCAGTAGTGTTTTATCCGATAACTTCTTTTTAAAATGAAGTCCTATTTATCCATAAGGAAAAAGAACAGAAATATACCTGTTCCAGTAGCTCCAAAACTGGTCCTGCAAGTGGGCTTGGTGGCTACTTTCATCACCAAATGAGGCTTTGCTTTCAATCCAGTGAATGATGTGTCCTTCCACAGCTAGGATGACAGCAAAAAACAAACTGAAGTCTGAAAATCACCTCAACAGCCTGTAAGACTGTGTTAGGGAACATTCTATTTACTCCACAATCTACCACATAATTCATACTTGCAACCATGTTACATATTTGTAAAAATTATCTTTCAAATATGTACATAGGGCATTTAAAAAAATACCAGAAAATACTTTAAACAGATAATCACATTAATTTCAGTTTAATTACACCCTGTTCCACATATCTGCATTTATTCTAACACAAAGAGAATATAAAAAAAAAGAGATTAGACTAAGAAGCAGTTGTATTCTTCTACTACCCTTACTTTGTTGGAAGGTAGTTGTCAGGTAAGAAATTGGAAATTTCTGCTGAATGATAAAAACAGTTAGATAAGCTGCTACAGACAGACACTTGCCACCAATCCAGAATGGAAGGTATAAGAAAGGGAAGGAAATTTATCCTGGACATGTGTCTGCTTCCTTTCTTTTGTAAAACCAGTAATGCTTCATCAGAAAAGTTAGGAGTAAGAAGGCTTATGTGAAAAAATATGATTTTGTTTCTATGATTTGGTATTTGCTTTGGTTCATGTCTTTCCTCATTTCTTGCAGGAGTTAACTACTAATATTAATAAAATCATCTTTTCTTTTTTGAAAAAGCAATGTCCTTTCTTAATGGCAATGTAATTCTGCAGAAGAAATCATTCTTTCTCCAAAAAGGTGTTGTTGGGTATCATTTTTAAGATCTTTAAAAACGTTATGGTTATTTTGAGTTACCTACAATATCCATAACCATGATGCCTTGGCATAAATTTAACTTGGAATGAGTTTTTCAGAGAGCATGCAAACCTAGAAGCACTACACAGAAAGATTACGAGAGGCTATGGCAGCAAATGATTGACCACAGACTGCAAAATTACTCAGGGAATCTGGGAAAATAACTCACGAAGTCACCACACTAAGTTGTATGTGCCACCACTGCCCTGCTCTCAGTAACCCAGTTAACTTGTGTAGGCCCACACTACTATATCCTTCCCCACCCCAACACCTTTAGACCCCAGGAGATAAAATAGCTGAGGTAAAATCAGCTCAGATGCTAATTCTAAGAAACATCTGCCTTTCCTAGGTTTGTACTCAGTCATGAAGAAAAGAATCCAAGGACTGCTATACCTTAGTTAAGACAACAGGTAGAACATGATTTCCTGTAAGTCTCAGGTGATTACAATAACTTGAAAGAAGTAATGCACTGTTATTTGAATTTGAGACAAATATATGCAAATGAATTATTACTATTTTTAACCTTCTTTCTAATTGGGTAATATTACAAAAATAATTCTTTTGGGTGTTCCCTGGTTTCCCTTAAGAATTAAAAAAAATAGTTGCTTTTCTAGTTTCCTTTTGATCAGGCTCTTGAATAGGTGGAATATAACCTCACACTTCTAATATAAAAGCGGGTACCCATAACACCATGTGTGTACTGTGTTTATTATGGTCCACATTACTGGGCAATCTTACTAATGTATGCAACTTTCTGAAGAGCAGGTAAAGAGGGAAGCAGGCTCTTTTCAGTGGTGTCCAGTAACAGGACCAGCGGCAATGGGTACAAACTTACACACAGGAGGCTCCACCCGAACATCAGCAACCACTTTTTCACTATGAGGGCGCTGAGCATAGGCACACGTTACCTAGAAAGACTGTGGATAGTCCCTTCTTGCTGATATTCAAGTGCTGTCACATGGCCTCAAGACCAGAAAAGGCAGATGAACTTTAACATTACCTTTATACTTACTTTTTTCCCTTATTCTTTCTTGCCATTCAGGCTTTTAAAAAACAGTAAAGAACTGCAGAGTTGTATTTGGATGCAAAGTGATGGTAAAAGAATAACTGCACAATAACAAACCTTTATGCAATGACCTACAGGTGTAATGTAATAATCTTAAGACTATGAACTGATTTGATCTAGAAGTAAAAGACATTTCTAGCTATTTCAGAGTTTAGTTCAGAATGGCAGTAGGCAGAATACCTTAGTGGGAGCAGGGATTTGGGGGTTTTTAGTGTTGTCTTTTTGTCCTTTTTTTTGTTAATGAGATAAAAACATGCAGAGACTAAAGAAGAAAGACTGGGTAACACTATTTAGGATCAAACCTCTCTGACTCAAACTAGAAGTTCTTAGAATTATTGGGTAACTCCTGACGAGACTTATTTACAGTATCCTAGAATATGCTTCACTTAAGTAGCCATAATATTTTAGATGAGTACTTCTACACAAAATAATAAAAATTCTTTTAAAAGACTTACCTACTGGCACTTCTAAAATAAAGTCTGGTGTTTTGTCATAACCCTTTGCACGAAGCTGATCTTCAGCTGCACACAGAAAATAAGAACTACTGTTTATGAAACTATTCCATTAAGTAGACAGCAGCATAATTAATTTTATTCTAAATAAGAGTGCAAGAATTACTAATGCAGTCATACATATCTTTCTTATGCATGCAATGCTGTGTCAGATTAAATGAACCTTTGTGGAAAACCTGAAGCATGGATATAAAAATGCTTCTTTGTCATCCCTGCATTTTTATGTCTTCATTATAAACATCATTAATTCAAGCTGTCATACAGTATTTTATAACCTCCAAATATTCAAAATAAAGAGGTATATTCACTGATTTAAAGAAGAGTCTCTCCACCTTCGGATGTGTTAAGATTAATCCTACCAGCACCACAAACGTAGATATACTGTTGCTGCTGCCTTGGTTTTATTTTTAATGTTAGCATAAAATTGTTAAAGAAAAAGAGCAAGAAAAGCCTTCTCTCCCAGAAATTTATTAAAGTAAAGAAAAACCATAATTTTAGTTTCTTTTGCATTCTGGATTCTGTAGAATTTTTCCAGTTTCTGAACATAGATTTAGACATTCTGCTAACATTATGTCTACAACTTTATTGTTTAAAAATATTGGAGCTGAGTATTTCAATAAATAATAATGAATGAGCAAGACAAAACTGCAAAAGGGAAAAGAAGCTTCCTTTTAAAAAAATGAAAAAAAAGAAGAAAGTAAAAAAGCCCATGCCACCTCTTAATATTTTTAAACTATTGTCCTTGATTTCTGATACCATTACATTGGTATTTCTGAAACACCATTTCTCCATTAGAATTTGGAGTGACCTGGTCATTCAATTCCAGGCATGGCTTTCTGTCTTCACCCAAGCTCAACTAATGGCACTACCTAGTAACAAGTAAGGCTGTGTAGCCCCTTAACACCTACTGGGCTGTTGACATTGTCATGCATCCCATTCGCCTTTCTACATCACCTTTGATTAAAATTAATGGTCCATTCTCACTGTTGGGTAGCTTATTTCCAATCCATTTATCAGGTTAGGACAGTAGTTTCATGGCCAATGTTCAGAACTCAGTTTTTGAATACTTTGTGCAAATCCTGAAAGGTCAGCAGTTTGAGTCCAAGTAACATTTTAATGACAAGAAAAACATACCAACTTAGAAATCAAAATACTGTAATATTGCCAAAATCAAACCCTCCCACTCTTTTTCATTGAAGAATGTAATTCTGAAGTATTTTATACAGTGAACTAATTCTGAAATTGGGACAGAAGTAAATTTGGAAAGCTGAACATTCGTCAGTGTAAACTGAAATAGGTGTTTATTCTTTTTGAGTGGTACTATAATTTTTTTTAAATTTTGAGAGCATTTCTTCACTACAAACACACTACACTAAATATAAGTCTTTGCAATGTGGCACTTCATTATCACATAATACAAAATTATGACTCTTATCCCATGATAAGATAATGAAAAACTTTCCAGGATGTGGAGACAGATTTGGTTTTTGACTAATTTTTGAAACTTAAATTGTCAAGTATACAAATCATGTAAAGATCGAGAAAGTTCTAATTTAACAGAACATCTGAATAGAAAGTTTTATGCCATAATATAAAAATGAATTAATGTTCCATGTAATCTTTTAATCCTTATTTTAAAAAACCAACAAAACAATTTTATCCAAATTTAGTTAACTTTAATTTAACAATTAAGAGCAACCTGCTCTTAATTGTTTAAAATAATTTAGCATAGACAATGGGAAGTCCCAGCTGAAATTTTTTTCATTTAAGAGCAATAGTAATAGAAAGGCCAGTCTTTTCTTTCACATCTAACAAATGCTAGTACCACAAAATAAGGCAAACGCACCTTAAAAAACTTACTGAAAACCAAAACAGTTATAAACACATGTTTCATAGGTCAACACGGCAAGTCTCTGAACTGGAAACTGTATCAGCATTACTTTTATTATTCTTCAGCAGATTGTTTTTTCAAGGGTGCCCAAATACTTTTAAAATCTTTTCATACTAATTCATGGCGAGGAAAAGAACATGATTTTTGTTTTATATCTGGTTCTAAATGTCTTCATGTGGTTTCTCCTAGCATTCCATACTGTGATTAACATTGGAAAACATATTAAAAACCATGTTTATTATTGATGTATCTGTCATGTGCAGAAACAGAGCTTTGCATAACTATTTCTCCAAGTGTTTTAAAGCTTTATAACCCTGGGGAAGAAATAAATACCCAAACTCCTCACAATCACCATAAAATTTTTGTTTTAAACCATAACACCATCAAAAAGAAGTACTAGCTTTTCAGCCCAGGTATGTTTCACATTGCTCCAGAAAATACAGAGGCAGCATTCTGCACCTCAAAAGATCTTTAAACTCCAGCATGGATTAAAAAATAATTCAGTAACTGCTTGAAAGCCAGCCCACAGCAGTTTTGACAGTTACATTTATAAATCCTCAGGTCTGAAAATTATATGGAAACAGCCCTAATAAGTAGTTTGTCAACAGATACCCCATTAATTTAGATTTTCAACAAAACTGCAGCTTCATCTTTACCATAATGTCACACTCAATCAGAACCATTTAACACATCATTGTTCTTCTACTAGCCCTCCTCTGCTGATGCATGAATGAGCTACAACTGCGAATTTAAGATTACAGCAGAAAACACTGATCAGATTTCATGATTTATATCCACTGGTGGAAATCAAAGGAGGATAAAGCTCAATACCTCCCCATATATCTAAAAGCTTTCCTAACATATTCATGGTAAAGATACAAAAATAAAATTCCTATACAGAACTTAGAAGCTCCTGCCATTTCAGTATGGCATGTGAAGCTGCGAGCCTTTTTTGACAAAATGCTTCTATTGATCACTTTAATCTCAAGCAGGCCAAGTGATAAAGACTGGAGAGCTGTGTTTTTGCTGAAGAGAGGACATGGTATATGAACCACTTCTTATGAAGAGTGGATTAATAAAATGTAACCCCCACTAGTGTCTATAGGTTTCCAGTCAATTCCAGGGTGACTCTGAAGGTATTACTTCTGATCTGTAGGCTTGAAAAGCCAACTGCTCTAGAAACAAATTCTGTCCAGAACCTAAAAAGCAGCTTCATGCTCTAAGACTATGCTGAGGCACTTGATATTCACTCTGTCCTGTGACTGTACTTTCCTCTCCTGTACTAGACTCTCTGTTGCTCAGGTGAACAAATCTGATACAAACTCCCTGACTATTCTTGACTATTCTTGAAGCAGTAAAGTGGAATATGGGAATCCCCACTAATATGGGAACTGCAAAATTTCTGTTTCTTTGAAACATGTTAAAAAGTAATGGAATTACAAGCCATAAGCCATGTAAATCATAAGCCTTCTTCAAAACAGGAATGAAGTATTACGCAACAAAGCCTGAATTTTTAGACCTATGGGAAATACTGGCATCTCTTTTGTTTTTATGGTGTTTTCTTCAAGCAGTTTTGGAACTAGGTTTTTGGAAAGGAAAGGTTGTATTGCAAGAGACTTGGTAGGGTTCATCTTGCAGATATTGGGAAAGTTTTATTTTTAAGAATATCCCAAACATGTATAGATATGAAATAGATACATGATCACAGACATAATAAATACAAATCTTAACATATCTTAAATCATGACTAAACAATACTTTGCTATATATAGAATGTGAACAACAAATTAAGCTCTCTCATTTCTGTCTTCATATTCTAATAAGTTAATGCATTCTAGATGTTTTAATTTGATAGCACAAATTTCTTGGAGCTAATTTCTAAAGAAAAAATTGATGTTTATCCAAAGTCATGAAACAGTAAAATTCAAATGTGATTTTTATACTTCTTAAGCTTACACAAGCCAAATAAAATGATAATTCGTTGGGTTGAGGATCCCTTAGTGAGTCATCCAGTCCATTTCCTCGTATCGTGATGGAATTTATTTCATTACCAGCTTTGATAGATGAGTGTCAAATCCAGCCTTGAATTTTTCATTGAAGGTGATTCTACAACCTTTCCTGGCAGTTTGTTTTACATTTATTGTTCCTAGAACTGCTTGGTATTTTATCTTGGTTTTTTTTAACCATCATCTCTGCAATTACAGCTTAAGCCTATTACCTATATCTACGCTCTTACAGTCAAATAAGAAAATTTGCCTCTTCGTATTTTCATAGTGTCATTTGCAAGCTTGCAACTAATCCTCTCCTTTTTTCACTTTAAAATAAAAGAGAACACTAATTCTGTTCCTTAATCATGTGGACAAATGTCTTAAAAAGTTTAATAATGCCTTCTAACTTCTTAAATTTGTTTGAGGTTTCCAAAATCTTAACCCGATATAGCTTCAGGAGAAATCATAGCTACAGGTAAACCCAGCAAAATTCACACAAATTTAGTACAATGCCCAACCATTAACAGAAGAGAGCATTTCACTTCACTGTCTCATCAAATAAGGAATCCATGCTTTAAGAAGTCACTGTTTGCAATCACATTTATAGAATGGACACTTTGAATATTAATCTTTGTTTCAACGGCACTCATGAAAAAGAAACATACTGCAGGCTAAAAGAAACATACTGCAGTCTAAAACAAAAAAATGAAAGTAACTTCCTAACTAATTAATCCCAAAAATAACTTTAAAAATTGGGAGTGTTAAAAAGAGTAATTGCATTAATTGGGAAGCAGAGGGCAAAAATTCAGCAGAAACTGCACAGCAAGGTAAATGAGTGAATCTTCTAGCAGTTCTTTAATACATAAAGCATTCTGAAGCTAATATTTCATATGCTTCTTCCTAAATCTCATAAGGCCTGGATTATGGCTAATATCTCATGACACCAAAAGTAATACTGCAGCAGATATTAAAGCATTTTTTTCAACTACTTATTCTATAAAATATTAATTGCAAGCCTGTGCATGTGCTGTATATATAGGGTATTAGGTAACTGAGTTCCTGCTCAGTTCTAAATCAATAAAAGATAACATATATAGCATCAATCATATTTTACTCTTCCTTTACTACCTAATATAAGGAGCATTGGGGCTGAATTTTGTCATAGGTAAACAGTTACCAACATCTCTGAAGTTAAGAATTCACTGGATAGCCTCTGCTACAGATTCTTACCTATGAAAGAGAGATTTTTTTCCAAAAGCATTTCTCGCAGCAAGACTTCGTGCTCATGCCCAATAGCACTGATAGCTTTAGGTTAAGAAATACAAGATTACTTTGGAAAAGAAGAAACTTCATAGAAACATCAAAAGTGAATTTATTTCCCTTCATCTGCATTTCAGAAGTGCCCAACAATATGAACTCCAATTTTTGAAAATCCTTATAGTGATTTTTAGACGCATACACAACTTTGCAAAAATCAGATTATTGTACCAACAGCATACACTTTATAGAATTAAGACCCATTTAACCATATTTATTCAGTATATTTAAGGGCAGTATTTCAATTTTTTTCTTTACTGTTTATTGTTCTAAATATAAAAGAAAGTGTGATCCTAAAACCTGCAGTAAAATACCTTTAAAGTTGCACTTTACTGACAAGTGACCAATTCTCCAATCCAGCAAAGAACGAAACAAACTGGTTTTCTTTCTCTATATTTTGAAAATGATAAGTAATACATTCATCTGAAACATCTTACTGTAAAAAATCCATCCTTTTAATTGATTTTTCAGAAGCATGAACTAATGTCAGGGAAAGATAAAATCATATTTTATAGTGAAGTCCTTTTCACTTCACCGACTGCCTGTTGATCCAATGTCCTATTCCTTGGAATATGTAAAACCATCACCATATGAAATATTTTTAATATATCCTCTTGGAGGTCAAAGTTCTATTCTGGAAGCTTTTAAGAAGAATCCTAGGGAAAAATATGATAAAAGATCTTACGTTAAAAGCAGTTAAGCTCCAAATTCTGTTTAAAGTTACTTCTCAAAACTTAAACTACAGATCATCTTACCATTACAGTTAATTACTTAACTTATATGAACCCTTCATATTGAACAGAAAAAAATTATTCTATGGAATCACTTCACATGTATATACAGCTTATATAAATTGAAACTATGTATTATGTTAAACTCTACTAGCAATTTCAGAACAAAAGGGACAAATGAAGAATGGCAAAAAGGTAGGAAAAATATTGCAAAGAGAATTTACAATGCACCATAAGCAAAAACACTTAGTCTATAATAATACCTGTTATTGATGTATGGCAATGACCATGGGGCAAAACTTGTAAATAACATCAGAAGCCATTTTCTACTCATGCAATCTAGCAGCCTAGTTTCCCGTAAGCATCTGAACTATTACTGAAAAATAGCCTCTTGGCATTTACAAAGAGGTTGACTTCATACTTTGGTCCATGCATATACAATTAGATAGTTATATTTAAAATCAATATGCAATCCTTCAGAAGACATTATGCTTTTAAAACCTTAACTTTAAATTGATTTTTAACTATTTTATGCACCTCAAAATTAACATCTAATTCAGCAACATACAGTAATGCACTCACACAGCTTAGTATTAAACTTTTCTGTACCAAAATGGAACTGAAAAACTCTTCATTACTCTCATTGACGTCACTGCATATTCAACAACCGATTTGAGCCAGAATATGAGGAGGAATAAAAATATTTTCTAGATTGCAGGCAAATAAGTCTTTAAAATGGTTCATAATTCTACATATGCATCTTTGTTATTTTTAAGCTTGGCACTTTCATTGGACTACACCCAGATTGCTCATCCACAAAATATTAATCTTAAAATTCTGGATATGAAAACCAATGATCAACAACCATTTAAAATGTGTGGCTTATTAGATTAATCCACTTTCAGAGCACTTTGTTTAATTGTGAAGATAATCTCAATGAATATCTAAAATTACAAATTAAAAGCACAAAATACAAAGACACTTAGAACTCTATCCTGCTGGTGTTAAAATTAATGGGGGCAGGGCTAAGGCTGTAGTAGACACAAGTGTTTCTAGCAGAAAGAAAGTATTTTTAAGGAGTGACAATCATGTGTATCGCAACTACATGAAGTGCTGTTTTTCATTAATAGCTAAACATCACTGCAGCTTTCCCATCTTGCTGAACAGTGAAACCAAGATTTTCCCCCAAACTGCATGCACAGATTTATGCAAGGATTCTCTAGGACTTGGGAAGGAACTGCCTTACTAGCCTGCTCAGGGACAGCAGACCATGATTTTGAAAGTTTTCCTTTGACTGCAGATTGAAACAGAAGAACTGCTCCTGCAAGACTTTATTAAAATAGATTTGGGTTCTTGGTGATCATTCCTACCAAATTATAATCTTAATCTGGAACATTCAGTGCCACACGGAATTCCCTCAGTGTACATACCATATGGCTCTCTAATTAATTATTTCAACACTATAAAAAAAAAATCCCCGAACATTCAGGATATTTTTATAGTTTTTTAATACAGCTAAATCTCCTTTATGAAGAAGAGAAAATAAAATAACTGCGCTGGAGTGTCAGGTAGGAGTTTAAAAATACCAATCAGTCAATCACACTTGAACTGCACTTGAAAAATTTCAGTTAAAACTCATATTCATAACAAAGCAAAGCCATAATGTTGAACACTATGCATGAAACTTATTAATTTCATCACAGAATAACTGAGATTGGAAGGTATTTCCAGAGATCATATAGTCCAACTCCACTACTCAAAGCATGGTCACTTAGTCTCAAGCAAAAACCAGATATGCATTTCAACTAATCAAAACCACAGAGGTTCAATGAGGCATATATATGAATGTATAACCAGCAAACTGACATCCTCCCATGGTCCATCTGATTTTTGTTAGTTAAGAGAAAGCTCTGCAGTGACCCTCTAGCTGACTGAATGTAAAAGACAGGAGTATGAAATGTGTTTTGTGAAGCAGAACTTTATGTCAGGTTAAAGCTAGACACATCTCTTCCACACAGTCTAAGCTCATCAATTGTGCACCTAAAATTTTATGGGAAAGGATACTGTTTGATGCAGTCCACCAGTGGTCCATAACAACAGTCATTCACAGTACACTGCAGACAAATAAGAGAAGTAGTATACTGATGGGCAACTACAAAACCATTATAGTTAAAGAGTATCTTAAAAACAGTAATTACTTTTCCTCAAAAAGGCTATCAGATGCTGTTCAGATTTAATCACAGAAAACAAAAACTGCATGCTTTTATTCACTATAAAAGCAAGCTATTAAAAAGTGAAATGCTCCCCTCACAAATATTGCACTGCCATTTATAGTGCACTCTGACCTCACTGATAGTTTATGATGACAGTAATTAAATGAGGTTTAAAATCTTTTACTCTGCTAGGCAGATAACAGAATTGCCACAGGAAAAAAAACCCAAACCAAACAAAACAAGTGTGATTAATACCTGATAGACTTGATTTGCTAGCACTCCATCTGGAATCTGAGAAGGGTCCCGTAGCATGCTATTTATAAGAGTTTTGGAGGCTAGAGAAATAAAAATGAAAAACATACAAAAAACCTGTTAGCTCAGTTACACTTTATTTATAAAAACCTTGATGATATCAATAATTTTGGAAATCATCCACCCAGCAAATACAAACTTACACATTCATAAGTACTTACCCATTCTGATACAATTATCTCTAAAGTCTTGAAACATTAAAGGATTTTATCAGCCCAAGGTGACAGCAGGCCCTTATTTACTTAATTCTACTGGACAGTTTGTGCTTTAGAAGCACATACAGCTTCTAAGGAAACTGCTTAGTATACAGTAAGAGTAGCTCAAAATAACCTTCATGTCCATAGAAGATATGTAAAAAATCTAAACAGCCTTTAAGAAACTTTTTAAGGACTTCATGATTCCAATTTATTAGTTTCCAAATTCAAATATTTATTTATTCAGTTTTGACACATTTTTCTGACCATTTAAGAACTGGGAAAAGGTGTTATCTGCTTTTCTGAAATGTACAAATGTAAGTCAAAAGATATACAAAGCTAATTTTAGCACCTATCTTTTTTACTTACTGATATTAACACTACAATGAAAAACTAATGTAAAACAGGAGATACCTTTAGTTTATTTTCAAATACAATCTTAGCAATCCTCGGCATTGTTTCCTCTCTATGTGCTTAGACTGGGTAGTTGCAAATACCAGTTAATTACTAATAGCAGGAAAGACTTTATTCTAGAAAAATGCCTTCTAAAAACATCAAATATTTTGAAATTTCTCCAAGAAAAGTCAATGCTGCACATCCTGTCTCTGTCCTGGGAACAAGCTCTGATGGAGCTCATCTAGTGGTGTATTTACATCATTGAATCCTTACGTGTAGATCAGGTTTGAGACTAGCAAGGTCCCCCACTGCCAAAGATTTCCTGCATGACTTCAGACTAATTCCTTTAACTTGTGTGTGGTTCAATCCTGTAAACAAAACAAAAAACTACTCTTTTCCTGTTCTTCATCTGTTTTGCCCCAACTCAGAGCCAAAGCTTTTGTCATGGTCTTCAGCAACTGAATCAAAAGATTCAGGTGACACTGTGAAAAGAACTGACAGAGCCTGTGATGCGAAGGGATCTGCCATATGAGCAGCAATGCTGCTATCAATGGATGTGTGTAAGCACCTCCCTGAAAGTAAAGGAGACGGCATTGCAATCTACTCCCTAGGTTGCCTCTTAAAAGCATCACATTCAGGTGATTGTAGCATTTGCAAGAAAATAATTTATTTAGGAAACTATTCGACATGAGGCAAAGGAATACAAGCCCCTGAATGAGTTTAAAGGCTGTGAAAGAGCTACAAAGAGCTATCATCACAGGCAGGAACAAAAGTTTGTGCAAATATTCTTAACAACAACGATTTCCACTATGCAAAAACACACCCAGAATTAACACATCACTTTACATCTATGTATCTTATTACTCTAATATGAAACACATGTTAATTTTATAAGTTAATACTAAGAATAAATAGGCATTTTACCTTAGCCTTTGTACACTGTTAAAAATACGTTTTACTTAGCATAAAAACTTTGAAAATGTGAAACAAAAGGTGGTGTACATATTTACATTTCTAACACTAAAATTTGAAACAATAACCATTTTGCACTTGGTAGGTAGGAAAAATATACGAGTAACAGTTTGCCAATAGAGAGGTTGATAGAATGGTAAAATAACGAAGAGTGTAACAGAGAATTCACTGCTTTAAAGGGCTACTGGTCTATATATTATTATTTGATTATGAAAAATTAATTATTTTTATGTAATCAAACTCCAGAAAAACACCAGAGATTTGCATTTGGAAAATGTTTAACTGGACACTGTTTTGAGTAATGAGCTACAGGTGCAAAATAAATTTCCTCTATTTATAAGACTGTCAACTTCAGTTTCTCAATTCTGGTTACCAAATATTATATTCTTTATCTCTATCAGAGTAGTAATGAATTTACATACAAAATTTTATATTAGGCTGATGTCACACTGGTTCTAATAGTTGTTAAACTATGCTTCTAAAAGAAAAGGCATCAAACAGAACTGATTACTATACTGGCTCTGAATATATTACCTTTTTTCCTTATATAAACATTATCTGCTTATGTAATGTCCTACAAAATTGAAAAAAAATCACCCCACATATTATTATCAGCTTTGCACTATCTATGCAGCTAAGAGAAGATACCTTCAACTGCAATTACTGTTTTAAGAAAGCCAGTTACTGTAGTGGCAGCATACCAACAAGGCTGACTGTTTACAAACTGAAATGGCACAAAAGTGCTAAGGTTTTTATGTGAACAATAATGCCAGTCAGAAAATAAAGTTTTATTGAAACACTATTCTTACTTAATCAAAAGTAAGATGACACTGGTGAATATTTACACAAAAGCAGGTCATCTGCTCTTCTTTCTCAAGCTGCTACACTAACTTCTAGTTGTGGCCAAGCTGAATTATCAGTGGAATATAATAAAAAAAGGTGGGTTGTAATACTGTTTCTT